TCTTTGAAACTCGGCCTGCTCGTCTGCAAAGTGGGCATGCTACGAATGTCCATCTGTAGGCTAAGTGCAGTGGTACGCAAGATGCAAAGGTTCTCAAAAGAGTTGGCGTTCTGCAGAAGGTAGCTTGCTTCGGTACTGTATCCTCTCCGGGTTATTTTCATTTCATCTCAGGGTAGCCACCAAGAGCACATGTGCTAGCAAAGCCAGGATGCTGGCAACCTCCCCTTTCATGGTCCTTTATCTGCCTACCCACTTCACTGTCTGCATCTTTCCTTTCACCAGGCCTGGCTCCTGCCTGCTACTTCCGTTGAATGGAACATGATGTGAGGGTGCTGTGTGGAGTATGTGGGGTGAGGGGTGTGTGTGGTGTGTGGTGGTTTTTATATATGTACGGGTGATTGCGTATATATGGAGGGCCATGGCTCTGAGTGACTGTACCTATGGGAGTCATTGTGGGGTATATGTGTCACCTCTCACATGTGCACTGCACTTTACAGCTTATAAAGTCACATTGAGCTTGGTGGCAAACGCATATACCCTGGGGCCAGACCTCCTGCGGTTCAAATCCTGCCTCAGTCCTCCATGGTCTTAGGCAAAACACTTAACCCTCTACTGCCTCAGTTTCCCCGTCTGTAATGTAAGGAAATATTAGCAGAACCATTCACTTCTTTTAAGATTCTTGTGAGAACTGGATGAACTCGTGCCTGGCTCACTGCAGGAGCTAATTAGATAGTGGTGCTTATAATTACTGTTACCGAGCGGTTTGATCTTTCTAGGTGGTGTATATAGGGGACAATTGCTTTTGCAACAACCCCACAGTGTGGTGACAGGGATTCCACTCGATATCTAAAGACTGGTGCTCTGGGAGATTTGGGCTCTAGGACCACCAGGGGAGAAAATGGCTGAGCTGGGACTCAAACTGAGGTTCTGTGATTTCAGAGTTATCTTGGAGCAGGAATAGAGGTTTGCAGATAGTCTCCCCAGCACCCCTGTGAGCGGCTCAGGGTCCCACAGTGAAGTCAGACAGCTCTGCTGTTGGTGAACCAGGGCAGTGCTCAACCAGACTTTGCTGGTTGTCTACCTCTACCCCTCAGCTTCCTTTCCCGTACTCCCTGTCTACCTAGAAAAGCAGGGTGCCTGCCCCAGCGTGGACTTCCCCAAGCTCGGCCTCTGCGAGGACCAGTGCCAGGTGGACAGCCAGTGTTCTGGCAATATGAAGTGCTGCCGCAACGGCTGTGGGAAGATGGCCTGCACCACACCCAAATTCTGAGGTAGGTGCGAGCAGGAGAGAAGGTTTGGAAACGCCTAGGTATAAGGGTCCTTATAGTAAGTAAGTTGAAAAGGAAGAGGCTGGAAAACACCGTGATAACAGATCTGTTTATTCGCTTTCATTAACTTAGCAACTATTTATCTACAATATGTGAATAGCGTGGGAGCCAAAGAAGCAGACCAGAGAGGCTGGGCAATAGGTTTTCTTGTCTAGTGACGAGGAAGGAAAGAAACAAGCTGATCTTGTAGTGTGCCACAGGGAGGTACATGCTGTGGGACAGGAAAACAGGAGTGAAGTGTACCCCCGGAGAGGGGGACGACAGGGGTGTCACTGTAACTTTTACATGGGAGAGTGGGTGGAGCCTCACCAAGAAGGTGTGAAGCAAGAGAAGGCATGTGAGCATGCTCAGGCAGAGGAGGCAGTGAGAAGAGGCAAGAGCATCGCTGGGGCATGTGAGGAAGAAGGAGAAGGTGAGAAAACATGTGAGGGGAAGTCAAAGATATCTGGGGCCTGGGACAGTTCATCTTAGGGCCTTAGAGGTCATTGTCTTGACCCAGAGAGGTGTGTCCTTAGAAAGATACTCACCCCAACATTTCCAAAGGACTCTCCTAGAGTAGGCTGCCATGTAGCTAGACTATGGAGGGCAGGAGAAGATTGACAGACTTACTGGTGAATGGACAGATGAGAGGACCGTGCCCGGGATGTAGGCAAGAGAGACTGGTGGCCAGTTCACCATTTCATGACAAACAGTGGGGTTTGCTAATGACTATCTGAACTCTCTTTTTCTTTTAACAGGAACTTCAGTAAGTTAGGATTTGGAAGTGGGTAACTGTGTCCTAGGGGAGGGGACAATGGCTGGTGGGGTTGAGGGTGGTATCCCTTTGCATGCTTAGTGAGAGACAGAGGGTTGATCTTCATTCACTCCAAAGGCCAGCCTTCGTGGACAAATGTAGTCAAGGTAGCTAACTTTGGTAGCATTTCTTAGTTGTGTCTGAAATGGTCTAAGTATTTAGTATGAGATATCCAGGACTAAACTTAGTATCTTTCGTGCCTCAGGCACTAAAATGAGAAATTTGTGGAGTCACCCTTCCCTATGTGATTAAAACTAAAATACCATTAAGATGAGTCTAGAGAGGTGACTTGGGTGTTTAAGAACACTTACTGCTCTTACAGAGGACACAGTTTTGGTTCCCTGTATGCACCTGGTAGCTGACAACTATCTATAACTCCAGTTGAGGGGCTCAGATGCCCTCTTCTGGCTTCCAAGAGTACTGCACACACATGGTGTATATAGATACACACATTCACTTAAAATAAACACTCGATATAGCATTATACCACACAGTAAGTGTTAAAAATGGAGAAACTGAGACAGATACCTGGTTGTCCCATTAGGTGATCCTGCAGTGTGGCTGTCTGAGGTTCTAGGTCAGAAAGGTGACCACTCCCCTGAGCTTGCAGTGCAGTGATTGATGACACAGACTGTGTCACTCATTAGTGCCCACTGCTGTGGGAAATAGATGAGGAAATGTCACCCAGGCTTGAGTAGGAGCAGCCAGAGAAAACCTCCCAGGGGGTGACCCTGAGCTGGCATAAACATATGAGGCAATGACTGGTGGTTTGGTGAGATTTGGGGCGGGGATGCTGTTTGAGGCGGAGGGAGCAGGATGAGCAAGAACTTGGATAAGCCTTTGGTTGTGAACACAGCTTGCGGGACGCCCTTAGTGCACATAGAGACAACTGAAACCCAAAGAGGGTAGTGTGCCCAAGGGCTCATGCTTGCTATTTCAAAGTATGCTCTTCACTGGGTAAGGGAAAGCTACAGTCTTCCTAGGACCCTGAACTCTGCCATGCCATGGTGGGCATTGCAGACCAGACGACCACAATTCAGACTTCAGCTCTGACCCTTATCTAGCCTCTTCACCGCCTCACCCACAATTATATGCTTTTAGAATGGGGATAAATAGCATCTATTTGGTCAACTTAACTCAACTTGACCTAAGGAATGAAGGCACGGTGGGATTTTTTGGCGGTAGAAGGACGATTCTTAGGGAAATAAATGTTTGTGGGTCTCCAGAGAGGCCACAGTGGCCATTTGGGACCACAGTATATTCAAGTAGGTCCTGGAACAGGTTTGATCTGAAGCACTAGAGGCAAGCCTGGAACTTGTTCGGAAATGCAGGCAGAGCCCCCAAGAAGGTAGTGCCTTGCTGTGTGTGCACATGTGACGGGCTAGGTGGGAGCTGGGTGACCCTTGTATCTAGTATGACAGACGTAATAGATGACGGTGCCTCGGTCTCTCCCTCCAGATTCAGCCACCAGCAGCCTGAGGAATGGAGAGAGGTTGCTTCTGCTGGACTATTCGTGCATCCGGTGTAGTTCCCGTGGCCTCCTTTCTCTCTGGTCTTTGCATTTCTTCCTGGTCCCACAAAAGCATCTCCTTTTTCCAACCAATAAAGTGATCACTTTCAGCAATGGAGAAGCTATAACACCTGCTCTCCCCACTTTCTTCTGTTTGTCTTGACTTGGGTTAGGTGGGTGGGACAGTACTGGACAACTGGGTCATTGAGGTACAAAATCCAGTCAGGGATTAGTTCTGAAGTTGTGAACAATAATTCAGGTGTGCCTCTGCCATGTTAGCATTTCTCCAGTAGATCCTTGCACCAGGCCTGTGAGGCTGGTTATTTTCCAAGGGTCACGGAGACAACGTGGCCTCTGAGAGGTGTAGGAAACCACTTCTGAAACCATTCAGGCCCACTGCTCATGAGTTGCATGTCTATGTGGCAACCATAGTGCTGGGAGACACACTCGTGAGGCTACCTGGCTACTCGGAGCCCTCAGAGTAATTCATAGCAATCCAGCGATCTGGTGAGAAGGCTAAGTGCCTGCTGTACAAGCAAGAGGACCTGAGTTCGATCCCCAGCACATGTGTTTAAAACAATGAAGTGCAGCAGAATGCCTCGGGCAGGACTGGAGATAGGCTAATTCCCAGATCTTGGCCAGCCAAGCTAGCCAAATGGCAAGTACCAGGCTCAGAAAGACACAACTTACAGAAAATGGTTCTCTTTTTTTTCCCCATTATGTGGGTGTTCAGAGATCACGGACAGGTGGTCAGGCTTGGTGGCAAGCACCCTTACCCACTGAGCCATCTCGCTGGCCCCACCCTGTGGTTTAAAAAGAAGTCCCTGCCTATCTTTGTACCTATGCATCCTTGAAATAACAGTGGGCCAGCTCCATGTCATCCTCCTCTCTCTTCAGAGGGTAACAATTGCTGCTTAAGGCAAACTAGAGAACCCTGGAACCAAGGCTCTTCAGTTCTTTCCCCGTGTGACAAGGCTCTTCAGTTCTTTCCCCGTGTGACAGAAAGACATGGCTTGACTTTAGTAATAGATTAAAACTCCCTATTTTAAAAATTAAAAGTGTGGTCTTAAACTCTTCAGTTTTTTCCCATGTTCTCTCCCCCTTTCTTCCCATTTCTGCTTAGTGTGGGGCCTGCCATAAACATCCCTTACGTCGAGGGTCATTTTTTTTTAGTTCGGTTTAGAGCCTTTGACTTCCAACTCACCCCCTCACTTTGAAGTATTTTTCTTCTCGGGGGTGAAATGAGTAATTCATACTAAGAAATGAGCGTCATTTCTCAATTTTCCCAATGTGCTTGAATATCTGTACTCCGGAAGGAAGGCTCTTTAGACAGGATGACAACATCTGTACAATTTCGGAGATGGAAGTGATCTTAGGGAAATGTATTTAGAGAAATGCACTTTTTATTCACAAACAAAACCCTTCAGGGACCCCTAGGGAGCTTGGCTCCATAGAGGTCCGGTTGGCTTGACAAGTCAGATATTTGTGCAGAATGCCTGGCACTGATATCTGCTCAGGAAGTTGTTCTGGTTGCCTCTGCAGCCTCCATAATGGAACCAGTCACAGCGGCCAATTTTGGAGTTATAGTACCATCTCACAAACATGGCTCGGCACTCACCCCTTTCCTTAGGAAGTGTGCACACAGGCGGTAAGGACTTCCTGGGCACTTGAAGAAGAAGAAGAGTGGTTAAGGAGACCAAATCCATCATCGTCCCCTGGGCTACTATCTCCTCTACTGGAGGTTTCCATGGCCACAAGGTGCAAGGCTGAGGTCACCCACAACAGCCACACCTTCCCACCCAGCCTAATTCTTCTCCACAGAAGCCAAGGCCTGTGCTTCTGTAAGTATTCAAACTCCCTTGCCTAGGATCCTGACTCAAACATCCAGCTCAGCCACCCCCTTCTGCATGAGACTGGAGACGTCCCTTCACTTCTCAAAGCTTCCAGCTTGTCTGTGACACAGAGAACCAAGCACTGTATCTCCTTTGCCCCCTCAGATTTGATTTTCCACAGCTGGACCCCATAGGCTTCTGCCTCCCATCTCACCGTCTGTTCCAGAATGGACAGACTGCAGAGAAAGGGTGAGCCTAGGATCTGAGAGCAGGGTTTCAAGTCTGACTCAGTCATTTGCTAGCTGTATAACCTTGAACAAAGGTCTTATATCTTCAGATCTCTTCTGCATTGAGTTTTTTCTCACTGTAAAATGGAGTCTAATGTTCACACTTTGAGGCTAATTGAGAGTTTAAAGACAACTAATGAAGGCTGGGTGTGCTGGAACACACTTTTAATCCCAGCATTCAGGAAAGGCAGAGGCAGGAGGATTTCTGTGGGTTGGGGGCCAGCCTAGTCTACTTAGAGAGCACCAGGCCAGGCAGAGCTATACAGTGAGACCACTTTCAACAAAACACCACCACCACCGCAACAAACAGGGGACGAAACCACACAAAAACAACCAATAAAAAGCACCAGTAAATCCAACAACTCAAAAGTCAGTGGGTAACAGTGAACTGCTGCTGAGTAGCCTTTCCTTCTCAAGCAATGAGACCCAGCAACACAAACCCTGACTACTAGCCTGCAGTCCTAGTCCCCAACACGGGCCAGTCTCTGTGTTCTCAGCAAACGCCCAACAAAGAAGAATTTGTCACTATGTGTTTTTATCTTCGCAATTACTATTTCGTCTGTGTATGCACAAGTGTATGTGTGTGTGTGTGTGTGTGTGTGTGTGTATTGGGCACACACATATTGTGGGAAGGCCAAAAGAAAAGCTTAGGTGTCTTTTCTCTCTCTCTCTCTCTCTCTCTCTCTCTCTCTCTCTCTCTCTC